ACGCCTTCGTGGGCAGGATAGCGTCTTCCAGGGCGGGAAGACAAAAAAGTATGGCGCCCTTGGCTTCGTGATTGCTCCCTGGAATGATGGGTGTTGGAGCGGGATGCTCCATTATCACGAACATTGTGTCTGGTTGCCATGTAGTAGACCGTTTAACTACTTTAGTTGTGGGATTGAACCTTTCCCACAGACGGCGTCGAACTGATGCGTGTTAAAAAATTCGCGGCGGTAGAGTAATGGATTATCGTCTTAGTGTTGCACGAGAATTCAGCACACACACACAAAAAAACGACCAGTAATGACACCAGAAGTTTTTACGAGAAAAACCGGTTGGGAAAAACCACGGGGCCTAGCCCAGTTGTAAAAAATCACTATTGATTGACGATTACATAAATCTCTTGTCCCACAGACGGGAAAGGGTTACTAGATTTTTCAAGTTACAACACCGACTGACGACGTCTAGTTGGTGGCAGTTAACAACGACAGTGATGCTTGACGATGGTTGTTGGTTGTTGACAGTGGTCGGCAGTGGTCAACAGAGGTCGCAGTAGTCGACGGAGATCGGTGGTAGTCAACGGCGATCGACGGTGGTCCACGACGGTCTGCGGTGGTCGGCGGCTAACGCTGGGGGTAGGAGGATGGTGATAGACTTCAACTCCTTCTCAAAGCTTCAAATTCTATCTCAATCCACCAGCGCCTACCCTCATGAGAAAGGATGGGACTCTATTTATAGTGTTCTGGGTGCAATTAATGTAGGAATATTAAACATTTTGATCGGATGGTTCGGAGAGCTTCCTTCGATCAGATAGCGTTTGATGGACATTTGAGTGCCTTAATGATGTCAGAATTGAGCAATCTTGGACTCGTTGGATTCATCTTGTCGAGGCGCTCGATTCAATTATAAACTTACTAGATTTGGTATCAGTTTGACCTTCCAAATGTGTCCAAAAATCTTCTAAGAATGGTTTAATGACTTGATTTGGGTTTGATATGACTCGAATCGGACAAATTTTTATATTATTGGGTCTGTCTCATAGAGGTCGATCAGTTTGACTATAAGTTAGTTGAATCGGAGCTCTGAATGACTCTTAATTTAAATTTGAATGTTTCTTTCTCAAAAATTTACCTCAAGATTCATTTCATGCCTCGAGATTCATGTCGAATGATGAAAATTTGTTTGTGGCGTATCAATATATATGTATGTATGTATTAGTATGTATGTATTTGTATGGATGTATATATATATATATATATATATATATTATAAAAGTCCAAGGGTTGATATATTAAAGAGAAAAGATATAGATAAGTTGTACGAGTGGGCCCAAAAATAGGCACCCAACCCACACACTAAAACACACAAAAAAGTCAAAATGAGTACATATAAAAAAAACCCAAAACCACTAGGGCGCTAAGGGTCATCCTAATTTAGTTCTGCCTCTGCCTCTAGTTCTCGGAAAGGATCCAGCTAACAAATTGGTAAGGTGTGTATCATTACCCGAAGTAACCAAAGTATCATACATAATATTCCCGAGCTCAAGTAGATCTTTATTCTTTTTCTTCCTCCTGAAAGTGTAAATCTGTCATTCCTCATCCAAAGAATCACTTTGATGAGGAGGTAGAGTTATAGCAGAAAGATTAGCAACCGTTGTACTCACAATATGTTCTAGTATATGTGATGTATGAGTTGTTGCCTCTACATCGGATACTTCTTGAAGATGGAGAAGGTTCTCCTGATTATCAGTCTGAACAATATCCTTTGTAGGTAAAAGTTCTTCAGTATTGTCTTCTATAGGGTTTCAAAGTGTCAGCATCACATCAATCGCAGCGTGTCCTCTAGTTCCAATACGGATCCCCTAAAAATAATTGCCACAATTTTGGTTGTGCCACATAAGTTGCACCTCGAACATTTTAAGCTATGCCCAACATAATTCAGATCACAAATTCTAATACTAACCACCATGTTAATCAATCAAAAAATGTTTTAACTATCATAAATTCAATGGACCGATTTACCAGATAAATCAATGAAGTACAAATTCATAGATTGAATGCAAATGAGCTTTGCATCGCAATGAAACTTATCAAGCAATCATTATCATGAATAAGGCTGATATAAATGTTCGAACTTTAGACGCACTTAAATTTTGCATCAAATTAGAATAGAATCAAATCATATCTAGTGGAGTCACGATTACAATGATCAACATGAAAAATGCTTTCAAACCAATTTTAGGTTGAGGGTGTCTCTCTCGATAGAAAGTAAAAACCTCATCTTTTGTTTCCCATTTTCCTTTCTCAACATGCATTGGTTTTAAAACTTCCAAAACAGAAAATAAAGCAATTAAAATTATCCATGTTTATATCAATGAACCAAATTTCATCAAATTTCAACACCATTCATTTGGCAGCCAACCATGCTGAAAAATAATGCTTTAAAATGGGCTCGATGGCATGAAAGATGATCTTTACATTTATAGCACCAATGTCAAAAAGTTTGTTAATCAAGCATCTTTCTATTTAGATTGTGATCAAAGTTTTCATCTAAAATAATACAATTTATCAATATTAATATATCATCGCATGTACTCATTTCTACCATAAGCTTGAGGACAATAAAATAGTTTAAAAATTTATAAAATTTGGCAACTAGAAAGTTTTACAAGTATTGATTGAGATCATGACATTTGAGTTTCACTTTGAAGTACCATGTTCAAAATTCAAGAGGAGAGGAGAAGCACACATTTCCGATCAGGAGAAACTAAAGCCACTCTGTCATCTCTCCATTTATGATACTATCTATAAAATATCTCTTCTCGTTCTACACTTAACAAGCTCAAAGATGACAAAATATCTAAGATATTATTATGCTAATCCTACACAAGATATCCTTCTAGAAAATATTGAAGAAAATTATCAGCATCAATATAATACATCGCAAGTATATGAATGGAATATTGATGGTCAATACAACCATCAAATTTGAATAAACTCTTCATAAAATGCTCATTGATGCTACGGCAGCACAACCTTGTCACAATTGTAACCCGCCGGCTGCAAGTATAATTACCTATGGATTCACAGCAAATTAAGAGGTGGAATAACTTCACGACTAAAGATCAAAAAAGAGATCTTTTAAGTGAAATTAAATTGGAAGTGGCCCCTTCAAAAATTGAAGTGGTTAATAACTTAATGATTAAGATGCTTGAACATTTCACAGGATCTTTGGGGATCACGGCAAACAAACTCTCCATGCTTCAAAATTAAGAAATCCAATTTGAATAATTTTTGTTAGTACAAGGATATCTTCCTTAGCAGAGTTATGGACCCTCGAAGCTGGTTATAACCACTGTAAACAAAAATTTATAACACGTATTTCTAACCTCTTTACCAAAAGGTAAAGAAACACCTTCAAAATCCTGAAACTGACATCATCATGAAAGTTATGCTCAGTTTTGAATCCAAAGAATTTAAATTTGAGACCTCCACTTCAATTCAAATTCCTCATCTAATTCAATAAACAAATCCTATTGTAATGGTTGTGATCTAACCAATTATTTTAAATCTATTATTAAAATATCAAAATTATTTACCCTGACAGATGATCAAAAAAAATCAAATGATTATAGTTTGTCCCAAGTTTCAAACCGGAAGAATAAAGATAAAATTTTCAATCATATTCAAAATAAAAATAATAAAACCCAAGCTTGACAATTTCCTTTATCCACAATATAAAAAAAGTTTATAATCACAATGTTAGTAAATAAACTTCTACCAATACTATTTTTTATCTTAGAGTTGAAATCCAGCATCTTAATGAGAAAATTATCTCGTGAAAAAATAAATCAAAATGACCTGAATGATCGCATCATGGATTTTGAATTCAATAAAGCATATATATTATTATAAATTACATTCTCAGAAAATCTTTTGTTAGACAACACCACTAACAAAGAACTAACTCAAAAATGATAACATCTTTCTTTCTCTATAAAAGACTAACATGCATAAATAGTTTATAATCATTTAGTTAATCAAAAATAAGAAGTATTCTACCCTTAAAAATACTCTCTAACTGAAAATAGAGCAAATACGAATTGTATCTAGTAAGAAATTATACCTTCTAAATATTTTAAAAAAAACACTAAGTGATTAAAATTAGCTAGTGGAGATCTCATGCAGATCGAGCAACAGTTAACCTTGGCAGCAATTTGTAAAAATGATCACTGCATTCCTACACCTTTTTATCAGTAAAAATTCTAACTCAGGCATATCATTTTAAGAACTAATTTTTTGATAAAAATTGTGCCAAAAAAAAAAAAATCATAGTGGTATTGTTAACAACTATTAAAATTAAGTTATTAATTAGGTTTTAATTAAATATAATTAACATTAAGTCCCTCACTCCTCCCACCCAGTAGGCTCATAATTGTTCGTGCTACAAAATTCTCTCCACCCAACACTCTCCTATTCATTCGAGGAACCGCAGAAGAAGTCGGAGATTTACATCTTCCTCTTCAAGTTCCCCTCTGTGTCTCCCCTGACGGTGCGCAGAGAACAAGCAGAAGCCTCCTCCCCAAGCAAAATCCCGTGAAACCCCTTTTGTTTCCTATTTGAAACAGATTATATTTCATCTTACACTTCAGACCTAGTTGGAAATACAAGAAGAGTATGTTTGCTCTTCATCAAAAGACGAACCGATAAAAGAAACAAGAAATAAAGAAGAGTTTGTTCTCATCAATGTGTCTACCTTAGCTAGAGAGAAAAGGCAAATGCATAATAATAAAGTCGTAAGGATTTTTTTGGATGTGATGATTTGGGTTTCTTCAAGCTCTAAATAAGAAAAAAAAAACTTTAACATAGATTAATTACATTGCTTAAATAAAATTTCATTTAGGATAGTTATTTGAGAATTTAATTTTTTTTAATCAAGTCACCAAAATCTTAATAGGTTAGCCCAAACTTAAAATTGATTAACAAATTTGGCTAAATACTTGGATGTTTAACAACTAAGGATTTTGATGTGGATGGTTCAATATAGAAGGTTTTACCAAAAGATTAGTAGATGTATAAAGATGAATACTTTGGATTTGTTTTTGAGTTTGATCAACCTTGTTTTCTAATTTAAATAAATGATCAGAGATTATCAAATTTTGGTAATTTCAAACTTCCGCCTTATCATCTTTGAAGACAGACTTAGGGTTGGAAGGAAGATGGATGAATATATCATCTCTCTTTTTACTTCTCCTTGACGTTCCTACCAAAGAAAACCTCTCATCTCTCAAATCTCGCACATCTCAACACCCCATAACTCGACTCAGCTCTGATCTAACCTCTTGCCTTGTTCTTAAACCCAATCCTAACTCCAACCGACAAGCTAATACAACAGTCATTCCAGTTGAAATAGAAGTCTTCTCCAACAAATACAAATAGCCACCAACCCATACCTCAAGCCACTACCACTCCTTTCCTCCAAATGGTAGATAGGCCTACCTATCCAATCCCGCACACACACACCGCCAACAGCCTCATTCGTGATTTTGACAACCATCTCACTTCCTCTCCAAATTTTCTTTCCAGAGAGAAAGCTCTCTCTCAATTTATTATTCTTTATATCTCTCCATCTCACCCTACTCCTTTCTCTCTCTCAACATATATATTATCTATTATAAATCATATATTATTATAAAAGATCAGCAATCAAACAAAAAGGGAAGAAAAAAAAGAAGGAAAACTAGAGAAAATAAAAAAGAGAAAAATAGATATTTTTGTGCTTCGTCTCATTGATTTTGTTGCCCCGTCGCCAAATTTTTCACCACGGAAAAAGATAATATAGGGAAAATAAGTCTCTGCATGCATTATTCAAAAATAATAGAAAATTTTGCTTAAAATTAAGTACCCGTGTAAGTTGTGTCAACGTAAGGGAAAAAAAAACTGCAAAACCTATGTACCTGTGCATATTATTCCAATGTGGCATAGCAATCATGTGTTTATCTTGTACATCTGCTTGAAAATTTATATGCATTTTTTTAAGCTTCGTGAGTTAAAACACCCTTGATTATAATATTATAAAATATCAAGCATGCATGCCTTTTTATATGTGGGAGAAACGACTAGCACTCCCAAATGACACCTCTTATACAAGGGAGACACCGAGGCTACCAAAATCTAGATTAACATGGGACTTAAATAAGATAAAATCAAAATGACTTATATGCACCTAAAATAACTAAGTAAAAAAATTACAAAGTAATAATAAATGAAATTTTGAAATATGAAATATGCTGCTAGTTTTGAATACAATATAACTTTTAAAGGACAAACAAAATTTTGAAGACTTACTTGGCAAGCAAAACTTCCTCTCCAATCGAATAACCTAGAGCACTCAGAACTTTCGAGTGAATGCAGTGAAATGGTGAGAAGCTAACCATCACACCCCTTCTAATTACAAGGGAAGAACTGATATCTTACAAGACCCACTTCACTTAATTAAAATTATGTATGAACAGAATAATGTTATTCAAAAGCATGATCCACATCATACACAAACGACCGGATAAAAGGCAATTGTTGAAACACTCGACAAAACTTTGTGCAAAACTTAATATCAAAATATCAGTGTAAAGAGTCAAAATTTTAATGAATTAAGGCTTAAATGATTATCAAAGCAATTTTCAGTTCACATGTAATGACTTAAAAGCCGTGCAAGCCTTCAAAATTCAAGCAAATAACAAAATGAGAATATTTATAAGTCATATGCACACGTCACAAGACAATTATCAAAATTATTGAAATGCGTGCAAATGAATCTTACAATTGCAACGCATAACTAGAGCATATAGATGCAATAGAATAAGTGCAATTTTGCAAATACAATACATGCACTGAAATTCACACAAGTGTATCGTGTAGGTGTATCGAGACGTGTGTATATCATTAATAATTAAAAATCCACATGTGCTCAGACCAGCATACTAAATACTCAATTATATAATCTGAAAATATTAAAAAGGATAAATAAAATAATATAAACTATAGTTATCTTGCTTCACGAATCACACAAATATCTTAAGAACTCATGCGGCTATTTTGAAGTTTTATAAAATCTTATTTTCAAATAAATGAAAATATCAAAATAATGCACATTGTTCTCCAGCAAACAAAGTTATCTACAGAACAAGATTGCAAGCCTCATTTCGTGATTATGATTTTCGACCTTAAAAGTATCAAAGTTGACAAGCTTGTCGTCATTAGCAATATTCAAGTAGCAAACCTCGACTATATTTCAAATGGAGATTGATCCCAACTCCTGGTCTTTAATCAACCAAATAAAGTTATATCATTATAGATTGAGAATTGAACACGCATAAACATTGCCAAATCATTTTTTACTTTAGTTTATACATGGCCTTCAAGGCCTTACAAGAAAAAATTCATGATGAAAATATAAAATCTACACTGATTATAACAAAGTCAATCTTAATTAAACAAATAAAGATAATTAAGATTAACATGAATGTATATGTAATGTTCCTGATCCATATATAATCTTCACTTATTATATGGCAACGTACAAGAATGTGGAATAACTTACAGCTATTGTTAGCATGCTTAACTGATGAGTAAGTTTGAAACATAATAGCAACATGCTCGATACCACTCATGTTAATTGAGTGTGATGTATTTGAATGGAGGCCACGAAAGTGAGCTCTTAGTGTTAATACTACATTGCGCAAGTGATAATAAGAGAGGCTAAATTGCAACCAATACAATCAATATATTGGGGATAGGGGACGACCTATGGTCATGCATGCACTTATAGGCTTATTCTAATTTTGTGTTGTGCCCAACTAACTCCTAAGATAACAGATTAAATTTTAAAGCTACATTCTGCTCGCTCGAATTCAACCAATTATGAACCATTAAACCATTTTTTTTCATGGCACGATGGGATACACTAGCAGATGTAAACAAATTTTGATTCAATACCTTAGGTTAGAAAAATAAACACAAACCCAATGAGTTTTTTTCTTTTTTTTTTTTTTTGGGAAATTGCAGAGTTTAAACCGAGAAGATTCTATCAAATTGATTCTTTTTATTTAAAAAAATAAAAAATAAACAAAAAAAAACTAATACTAGCTGTGACATGTCTAAGTTAGCCAATCAATAAACACTTAAACCTAATTAGTAATTAAGTTGATGACCTATTTACTATTAACCAGTACTTACACGACTAGAAACTCTTAACATTAACGACTTCATAAACACAATACTGGTGACTACAGGTACGATTAATAACTGACCTCAAAGTTGCTGAATAAATACAGAAAACCATTCGCTTGCTACAAGCAAATTAATTGATTGTGGACATGACAAGTCTTCCCTGCCATGCTAAATTAAGTTCCTATGAAGCGTAACCTTACAAAGATATCAAATTCTCTGAAATTTTTACCCTAACAGTCCCTCCCTCGCAATCGACGGGACAAGTCTTCCCTACTATGCCAAATTAAGTTCTTACGAAGCGTAGCCTTAAAAAAATCTCAAATTCTCTGAAATTTTTACTCTAACAGTCTCACCCTCGCAATCAAACATCTCTAAATTTCCCAAAAGTAAGCCAAGCCTCAGAATATTGCATTCTAAACCTTCCTATCCTTCATTGGCTCCATCCACCCAAAGGTCGCCACAAAACCCCAAATTGCATAACTAGAAAAGATTGATCAAAACTTCATCGGTGATAATGTATTACCGAGATTAATCTGGAAGGGTCCGGAAGCCAGGGCTCCACAAGGGCCGCGGTGTGAAATATGACATCGCAGCCAGCGCAGGCCTCAAGCAGGGATGGGAGGTCAGTAATGTCTCCGTATGCAAGCTCCAGAGAGGAATCCATACCTTCTCTTCCATCTCCATCGCCGCCGATACCGAGGCAACTGAGATCGCTGCTGCGCCGCACGAACGCCCTAACGGTGTGACCATCGGCAATGAGTGCGCGACAGATATTGCCGCCGAGGTAACCAGAAGCACCGGTCACCAGAATCATCGTCTCTTCCCCGTAGCTGTCACAGGCTCACGGCACGAAAAGCAAAGGAGGCTGAGAAGTGGAAACCCGGAAGAACTTCGATCTTAAAATAAATAAAAAATACGCAGTTGACTTTTTGGGCGGTCAGAAAATTTGAAGGCCAAATTTGATTGTTGTCAGATTTGATTGTTGTCAGCAGTTATTAGTGTTTAGTGATTTAAAGCCTAATTTTTCAACGGTCATTGCTTCAAATTACACATATGATGGGTATGGATATATATATGTGTGTGTGTGTGAGTGCGCACGTGCGCCCAAATTTCATTGGCGTGTGTGTATATTACATTAATAGATTGGGAATTTTTTATGGGTCATTTATATAGATACCACACAATTGTTATGTATTCACATATCTAACGCATAAACATTAAAAATAAATCACCCAAATTTTTTACATCAAACCAACAAATCTTTGTCATTATCTTTTCAAAGTTGAAATATAAATTTTGATGTATTGATTTATAATACTATGGCATGATAAATATAAATATCAAACTTTAATACTTAGATATGTAATTGTGTTGTCTGTATAAAAATTTTTCTTTTTGAAATGTAAAAATTTACAATTAGAGTCATAAAATAAATAAAATATAGATAAAATTTCCTAACAAATAAAAGGGACTAAAAAGTAAGGAGGTAATAGTTTAGAGAAATCCAAATCATCAAAAAAATTTTAATTATAAAAGATTTCACTGAAGAATCGCATAAGCCGAAAAAAACACCTGGTTGTTTGGTTATGAATTAGGAAGAATTCACCATAGCTCTAAAATAAATTGTTCCCAAAAGAGAACCCAAATATAAATACAATTATTTAAAAAAGAAAATTTCCAACTTCAAACTAGCAAAGTAAACCATCATTAGCATCAAGAAAAAGAAGACAGTTTATAACATCCAACAATTAAAACAAACCATAATTAGAATCAAGTAATATATATATATTGTTATGGTATGGCTCTTATACCATATAAGGGACATATACTGGAACGAAGCGGAGTGGAAAAATTTATCCAAATTGGGGGAGTTTTGTTATGTGGGTTGAGGGTGCGGGGGCAACGTCCCGCAGTACGGTACAGGGATAATTTTATAATTATATATCGTACTGTGGGGCTATATATATAGGCTTTATTATAACCCTAAGGCGAAAATATTGGAATTTAAATGAATTTGACGCTCTGCTTCCGAGGAGATAGGCATATTTGTCGAACCTCGTTAAATCTTTGTATGTTCTTCTGGATTTGCGTCGATTCTTGGTTTGTTTTCTTCGCCCTAATTTCTCAAATATCTAAAGCATAAATGTTGGAGTTATATCCAAACGAGGAGAAGCGTAGTAGCATAATATAGGTTAAAATATCATCAAGCCAGTGACCATATATTTAGATCGATTGAACCATAAGATAAGATAAGGAACATTCAACAAAGCTTAATAAGAAAGTGTGATATAATAAATACAAAACCACAATAAATTACCAATAATTTAATGCACCCACCTAAATCATAACATATATAAGAACCCATAAAATATAAAAAGTCTAAATTGAACATAATAGTTTATAACCTAAAATGTCATAGTAGCACTCAAGGAAATATAGGTAGAAGCATAAGCATGAGCATAAGCATAATAGAAGGTTGTCACAACAAAAACATCCAAAAAAAAGTCAAAACCAATAAAGGTAAGGCTAAAAAAAATTTGTACAAATATTATGAGCAAAAAACCATTGAAATTCCACTACCTATTTTTTGCATAATAACAAAGTGAATTCTCTTAATGAGAATATCAAAGTGAATCATTTCATCTTTAAAGACTTTTTACTTTTTGTTAGTTAGATAAAGTAAGCAACAATTTTTGTTGGCTCTTGTGCTCCATTGTCGTGTAGAGAAAGAATATCCACTTTGAAGGAAAGTAACATTTCTATTGCTTCAGTTCGAAGAAGAAAAACAAAAATATAATCTTTATGTGTTCCCCTCTTAAAATTCCCTTCTCGCATAGCCTTCATTCTGAAGAAATCAAGTGAGAGAAGAAAATACTAAACTAAGCAAGCAAAAAAAGGCAAAAAAAGGGTGAAAGTGAAGGTGTATCATAAAGTGATCCTCGTAACGTAAACCCAAGAGGAATGATATGAAATCAATCAAATCATACTATACCCAAGAGAATATAAAAAAAAACTTTTGTGATAATCCTCATATTAAAAAATAGTGCAAAACCAAGTTTTATTTTATCTAGGTTCAAAAAATTTTTGACTATGATGTATCCTTGTGGTCAACTACATTAGAAATTACCCATGAAGACTCTCAATAAAATGTGTTTTGCATATTAAGAAAAACTCTAAAAAATATAAAACCAAGGGTGGTTTCATTTTTCCAGCACAGGAAACCTCTCATTGTCAAGGCTAAGCTAGATCATCAAACAAAGGGTGAATTACCGTAACCTGACAGGTGTATGCTCTCAACAAATGAGGACTTATGAAGAAAATATAAAGACTCAAAAAAGAAGCATAAAATGGGCTTAAAATGGGTATACAAAAGTAGGTAAGATAACCTAGTTGGATTGAGATAGCCAACTTAGGATTCCATGGATTTGTCTTCTTAAGTTAGTAAGACCTTAAGTCTACTTAGTTGTAGAGATTGTTAACTTAACTTGACCGAATATTTTCTTATTAGTAATTGATGTCATTTTTAGTGGGGTATGTTTCCCTCTTTAGAGTCGAGAATCAAGTCATAGAACTTCTCTAATGACTCACGTAAATGACTAGTTTTGGAACCCACAACACTTAGAATTTTAAACCACCTCTTAACTCCTTGTAGTCTCATATACTTGGTTTCAAATCCTCATCATTTAGTTGAGTTGATTGGAACCAACATATTGAAACTTTAATTGAGTTTCTATAAAGATTGGAAATGTCTTAAGAAGACCTTTTAAACTTAGAGGTTTTCATTCTCTGAAGCACATTCTTCCTCTGCTCGGATCTGGAAGATTGTACTGGTTTCACGGGCTTCTGCCAGCTCTTTTTGAAGAGTCACCACCTCCACCCAGAGAGTCTCTATATTTTCATAAGGGACCACATGCTCATACTTCAAGTCTTATATGGTTTTCTCCCTTTGAGGGCTAGCCTCCCGAGTGAAGGAGTACACCATTTTGCCCATGTGACGAGCTAGCAACACTTTTGAATGTTGTTGATCGTCATTCTCCCTCTCAATGCCTTCATGACCTGATAGATGGACATGTGTGCCTCTGCTCTAAGCAGGAACAGAAGGTCCCTCGACTGCCTTTGGAGCGTAGGGTTAGCCGACTTCCATTACTGAGGAGTCGATGATGTGCATAGTTTTCTTTACAAGAATAATCAAATATAATAAATGGGAAGATAAATAAACTACTCTTCTAATAAAAATATTTTTTTTCATGCCAACTATCTGCCCTGTCCTAAATGTGTGGAGGCTCTCACCAGCAAGTGGTTGGGCAACCTTCTGATTGGCCTTACCGACTGAGGAAAAGAGAGGTCCACCTTACCATGACTAGACCTGGGTCACAACAACCACCTATATTGCTTGTTGATCCAGTCATTGATAAATCAAATTCAGGGCAGGGAGCATTTGCACCAGTAGTGTGCATGTCAATCCCACCCCCATCTCATAGAGTGGTAATGAATTAGGCGGCTCAATTATCTTCTCTGCCCTTTGTTTCTTTTGTGCTACTTGCTTGCCATCCTCATTCCCTCAATTCAATTCCCTTCTCCTAGCCTCTTTAATGGGACCAGTTGTCCTTCGCCCTCTAGCTTCTTTCCCACCGATCATCTCCCATCTACAGGCTTTCTCTTTTTATCGGCCAAATAGTCTTATGTTTCTTCTTCTTCTCTCTTGCGGAATGGCGAAGTTTTTTTTGGTTAAAAGCTCGAAGACCTTTAACATGGCTCCATCATTCATGATTTGCTAAACACTCGACATTATTATTTTCTATTAAAAACCAACTAAAGGGTTGAAAATTCAGAAATGGTGATGAAAAAGGGTTGATCATACCCTATTTATAGAGAATGCTGACATAAAAATCCAGAGAGTTCAATTATTAGAAGTATTTAGTTTACAATAAATAAAATAATTTTTACATTTAGTTTTCTTATTTTAATCGAAACTATCATTTTTAAGAAGTAAGAGAATCGAGAAACTAAATATGTACATAAAAAATATGACTGTAAGAATCTGAAAGAAATTCAATGGAACTTACTAAATAGATATTGAAGTATTTCATCAGGATAGTCATAAGATAAAGGTGTTAAGTGCAGTTCCTTCGGTTGGAACTATGAGTCGACCGAACGAAAGAAAAACCAAACAAAAGAACTACAAGCACCTGATCCAAGTGAAAGTTAGCTATAACTAGCTCCCTTGACTGATTTTGGGTTCCTTCACAAAGATGGCCAAAAGGTCCCCATTAAATATCTTTCCAATTCTTTGAGAATGCCCCTTGTCTTAGGAGAGTTGGGCACAAATTATGGTGAAAAAGCCTCTGCCTGATTGTCTATATTCAACCTAATGAGAAGAAGGCCTTTACTTAGGACTCTATCTATGAGGCTGATTGATACAACTTAAAAATAACCTATTTTGAATATAGATTTAATGCTCATTTAATGTACATTTTTGATGATATTGTGCTTTATTGAAATATATTATGCATATTTTTGGTTCCATATACAATAAATGAATTTTTGGAGAAAATTGAGCAAAAACAGTGTAATTTAGAGTCAAATCGAGCAAGGAAGAAAATACTGATCTGACGTATTTTGTTAGAGGAAGATTGGAGTTGAAACAGGGCGAAACAGAGTGAAACGAAGAGAATTGGAGCCGCCCAAACTTTTGAACTAGCACTGTAACGCCCAAACTGGCGCCATAGGGCCAGACACGTTGAGAAATAAGCGTGTCATAGAGTTCATTCTGGTGTCATTGCGCCGATTATGGCGCTATAATGCCAGTAACGATTATTGCTCAATTTTTGAAGTTTTAAGCACCATTTGACACTTAGAAAGGCACATTTTGACATTTTGGAAGTTTTGTAATGTCCAAGAACGTCTTGGTATCGCAGATAGGAGTAGGAAATATAAATTTTTATCTTTTCTGGAGAGATTGGTGAACAAATTTGAGAGATAAGTGTAAGGAATTGTTATGACATTGCATGGATCTGCGGGAGGCTTTGTTGATGAGATTTTTATGTTTCTTTCAAGGGAAAAAGTTAAGTCATGTTGTTCATTTTCTATAATTGGTGCATAAAATTTCTTGTGAATTTGCTTTGATCTAATGAATTTTTCTATTTTGTTTTTTCAAGATTTGTGAGTAGTTTTCTTTACTCTTTTCTTTTAAT